CTTCAAAACCGAATGCTCTGAAATCATGCAAACCTTTTAAGGTTATCGAAATCATGCTAAATCATTAATCAAAGTTTATTCGTTTATTCCCTTCCAAAACATTAATGACGTTACCTCAAAATTGTTCCTAATAAATTCTCTCTGAAATATGCCAAATATTACGCCTCTATACTAATTTTTAGAACTACCTATCTAGGGAAACTCAAAAAAATTCATTAATTTTTCGGCAATTTATTTTATTAATTAAATCAAGATTGACTCATTCCATTTTCCCGAAAATTTAGGAATACAATACTATTATTATTAGTATTACACTCCATCCATCCAAACTGATATACGTGTTCTTGCTGATGACGTCATCACAAAATTTTGTATTGGAAAAACTCACCTGAAACAAACGCGTAGCACGCGTCTTTACATGTAGTTTAACATTACATACATAACTTTATTTTGACTTATAAATACTATCATAAAAAAATAAAATTCGCAAAATCAAAATTTATCATTTTTCGAAAAAGCTGGATTTATTCTACTCTACTTCAAGAGCGAGGGGAGTTCTGTCGAAATGACCTTCAACCAGTTTTTCCATCGCAGTGTTCCGATCTGGCTTACTGTAGAAACTTAATCAAAATTGTTCTATAATTGTGTACGTTGTATTTAGCGTAAAAATTAAACAATCAATTAGATTTTTTTTTATAAAAAAGTTGTTAACGTTCAATATTTTTTTGTGTATTTCTATTTAAGAAACTACCATGAAATGAGGTTTATAACATTTGATAACCTATAGCAGTCTTAGTATCTTTACAGTCTTACAAGTATTTTTTTTTCTTTCAGTGCCACCAGAAAAAACAATAATTATTGCCTTTCGTTGTCTTTCAATAATTTTTTTAATAATTACATATCATGTTTTTGTTTGTCTTATCCCTGAAAGATATATTTCCTAATAATAATTAATATTTTCCTTAAATATTAAGTAGGATTAAACTTGTGATCATCCTTGATTATCCCTGCCATTCGCTGGCTTTAGGTTTTTGAGGCAACCCATAATACAAAAGTTAACGGAAGCTCATCAAGTAGTGAAACGGACGTTGACAATTAATGTCAGGGCCAAACTATTGTGTGAACTGTCCAAGTAGCAGACTCAGCTTTAGCAATAGTATGCTACAAGACTTGGTGCCAACATTATGTTGGTCTGAATTCACAATAATAAACAATTCTGAAGAGAATAAGCAAAAATTTGTATAATCGCTCTAGCTATTACTGCACATGTGCACAAGTTTTAAATACACTTAACTTAGATACGTTTTAAATTCCTATATTAATGCACGGATATTTCTAAATAAAACACACAGCGAAATTTTTAAAGAACGTGGACTTTTTCTTAAAGACACAAAGTTGTTCAAAAACACAATTCATATTCGAGTTTGTCAATCTATAAAGAATATGCGGTCTATACCCGTCACTTCTAACCCTAAGCAATTTTTTTTTAATCAGGAGAAAATCGAAAGGTGACATGATGGAAACACATATCTATGTGAAATTAATTTTTTTTTACTGAATGTGAATTATGTCTTCAATATTCGCACAACTTTGTAAATTCCCGACACTTTTCTAATAGAAAAAATTTATCGCTTAAATAATTATAATTTCTTAACGAAGTGTTTATTGCTTTATTAATCTTTTCCCACAACACATAGAAAAATAAACAATTTTCGCATCTGGTTTCTAAGTGTAAATATATGTTTTCAGAGAATCTGGTGAGCCTTCTTTTAAGCTGTAAATTTTATCCGTTTGCTTTTCGTTGTCGTTAATACTCATGTGAGGTTAATCAATTTACCTTGGTGCAAATGATACCGTTTTCAAAAGAAGTAAGTACTATTTGGACATCTGCACCTTTCCTTTGTATATTTTCATTTCATCAGTTTTGAGCAAAATGATGTAAAACGATGATCTAATACTTATTTATACAGCAAACTAGTTTTCTCATACAGCAACAAGTGAAACACTATTGATTACATTAAAGTAAAATGCCACCGGATTAATAAAAAAGTCATTAAAAAAGCCTGAAATTGGAATTAGAACATTATGAAACACATAATCTCATAAGGAACCTGGATAGTGACCCTTCATTCCCCAGTTTCAATCCAGATGTTAAAAAAAGATCACTTTTTTTTTCAATCACTGTATTTAACTGCAATAAAAACAAAAAAAATGGAAAATTTTAATTCAAAATATTTAAATTTTAATAGAACAGCGTTGTGTATGTATTTGCATATTCTCATTACCCTCTTCCTAGGCTTAACAACAACAGTTTGTTTTTAAAATTTGAGTATGATGTTGCTACGTTATTTAAATTTTCTTCAATTTTTTGGCAATGGAACGGTTTACAAAAAAAACTGCAACAGGGTTACTCTTAAAATCTGTGTTACAACAGGTTTTATATGAAATCCAAAACTTTACTTTTACTCTTACTTCATTTTTATGTAGTTCTCATTCTTCAATGTGTAAAAAATTGCTATCAACTTTAAATATAGAAAATACTTAATAGAAAAGAAAGAAAATAAAGTAGAATAAGATGTAATAATACAATACAGAGTGTCTATTTGAAAAAAAAAAAACTGAAATATCGGTATTTGGAAAATGTAACATTTAATTTTTTATAAACACTCTGTGTATGAAGATTCAATTTTATTTATAGCACAATAAAGCGCGTGCCTTTAGTTGGCACTTCGCAAACTACTGTAACACATAATTTAAAAATAACCCCACTGCATTTTTTTGTAAACCTTTCCTAGCTAAAAAATTTGGAGAAAATTGAAATAATGTGGCAACGTTGCATCGGAATTTGAAAAATAAACTGTGGTTGTAAAACCCAAAAAGAGAACAATCAAGATATATACACTTGTATAGTTAAAACTAATTTAAAATATAGTCCTCAAAGAACTGTACAACTTTGGTCTGAAGTAGGTATTCATTCTCAGTTTCTACAGAACTGAATTATGACAACAGAAATATACATTTTTAAAGATTGCAAAATTTATAAGACTAAAAACAACAAATACTGAGGTTGCAAAAAAGGTTTTTTTTTTAATAAAAGACTGTACATATATTATACAGGGTTAGTATAAAGTCCAGCAACGGTGGAATAATTTTGTTATTTGAAAAGTTTTTTTTCTGAAATTTGCTTTGGATATATTAATTAAACATGGCGACTTGATTACAACATTTTTCCTTTTCTCACCGCTCTCGGTTTGACAACACAGGGCCGCCTACTTGTTTTTTAATGGGAACACCCAGATTTTTTTGACATTTTCTGAAGCAGAATAAAACCAAAAGCGATAAAAAAAAAGGAAAAATGTTTAACTATCCACACTAACCAAATTTCAAAAAAAAGCTTTTCAAATAACAAAGTTATTCAATCGTTCCCAGACTTTATACTAACCCAATAGTGACAAGTTGAAAAGTTATAAATATCAAATTTAAAAGAGTTTATTAACACAAGAGAATCTACTAATTAAACATACGAATAGTATTCAAAGACCTGTTTTTTTTTTAAATGACATCAATCAAATCTGTATTTTCAGAGAGAATAGAACATAATTTTTTTAAATTTTAAATTCAATGATGTAGAACTTGATATGTAAGATATTTCATTTAATAAACTTTAAAAAAATTGAAATGGTGACGTTTCATTTTACCTATTCTACACTAATAAGTAATAACTCAAGTATTATCTGAAAATGTATAAGTCTGAAATCTGGAATGCTAAATTAAGCACCAAATCACTAAAGCGTTATATCCTATGGTTTTCCCGGAAATAGCATATCTTCTTTCAAATAGAATGTGATATGTACAATATTTTAGGGGAGTAAATATGGGGCATAGAGTATATTTTTTAAGTATTTCCAAGACTATATTTTCAGTTTTTTCAGTTTCAACATCAACATGTCTTAGATATTATTAAATAAGAAATACTTTCTACTTTAATTATTTGCAGAACTACCAATAAATACTGCAAAATAATGTAAAACCAAACATTTTCAAACGGAGAAACTGATCGAAAAAATAAAAGAGAAGTGAGATTATATTGAGAGAAATTTCATTTCCAGTTTTACCTGGGACACCTGTATTTATAGATTCTTCTTGTTGCAGTTAATTAGAAAATTACATGTTATTTCTCATAGGTATTTAAATTTTTTTTAGAATTTAGAAAGAGTTGCTGTTTTCTTTTGATTTATTCTTAGATTTTGTTGTTTTAGACAGTGTACTTTTAAATTATGTCTAAATTATATATTTTTTTTTAATTGAACAGCCAAATTAAGAGTTAACTTGTAATATCAAGCATCAGAAAAAAATTTAATTTAATATTTTTTTCTTTGTATTTGCTACTTTATATGTATTTTGTTACTAAGTAATTAACACTATTAAACAATATCACTACAAACAAGTATACACATTAAAACACTTATTAATAATATTAATATTATTGTATTTGCTTCCTCTGAATCTGCTTCATAAGTGAAATATTTTTTACTAATAAGTAATGCTTTTATAGAATATTTTGAAACATTGCTATTATTTTATTAAAAAAAAAACATGCTGGATTTCTGAAGTACATACATCAGTTTCCATTTTTGTTAAAATTTTACTTTCGTTTATTAAAATGTTTCTGTGAAGCCCCTTTTTTCATTTTCAAAATTAGTTTTTTATTATTATTATTTCAACGATAAAGAAAATATCGCAAGAAGTGTTTCTTCTCAAAAAACTTCATATCCACAAATCCTATCTCTGGTCAATTTTCCCAACTTCTAAAAAAAGAAACCTACCGGGGTGTGTCTTCTTTACAGCTGTGGTTTGTGTACGGTCTAAACCGCCAAAATTTCACCCCCTCGCATAATTCACCACGTTCTTATTGATTTTTATATCAAGCTTACGCATGGGAACGGCCGAGACAACAGATGGCAGTTTATGTAAATCTCAATCCACCCCCTCATTTTTGGTTATAATAAAATACTTTTTTGTAAATAAGTGTAGTTACTGCACCTACCTCCATTAAGCTTGTTTAAAAAAGCGCAAAAAGTTCGATTTGAAATTGCCGTCCGCCGAGAAATTTGCCGTCTCGGCGCTGGCGTCGGGCATGATGTCTGCTGTTCGATTTTTCGACGACGACCGTCGTTCTTACCCATTACTCAAGAATCCAGTAAAATCTCAAAACATGGTACTCTGAAACGAAGAAATCATGGTCGGCATGGCGAATATGGATGAACACGAACGAAAAGTGGTAATGGAATTTTGTCATCTTTTGGAAAAATCAAAACAACTGTTCAATGGGTTACGGTATGTATTAATCACATTATCTCTTCATCTATTAATAAAAGTGGCCTTCAGTGATCTTCCACAATACGGCCATAAACAATGGCAAGCTTATTTTGGAAGAACGTTCGACATCTACACGAAATTATGGAAATTTCAACAGCAGCACCGTCAAATTTTAGATACAAAGTATGGGCTGAAACGCTGGCAAATTGGAGAGATTGCATCTAAAATTGGACAACTTTACTACCATTACTAGTAAGTTCATCATTCAAAGGGACCTTTTTATAAAAAAAATTGTTTAGTTTGAGGACCAGCGAGACTAATTACTTAAACGAGGCTTACTCCTTCTATGCTGCTATTAGAGGGCGCGCTTACTACTCTCGAGCCGCGAAAGAGGACAGGTGGTTTATAGTAAAACGGAAGGGAGAGTCTTCTCATTTTAATTTTTAATTTAAGGTCCGAGCTCATGGTGAAGAAACTAAGATATTACGCGCGCTTCATCGTTGTTTGCCTTTTACTACGTCGAATGAAACTAGTTCGTGAACTTATAGTAGAATTAGATCGACACATTGCTGATTACACGAGTACCTACGAACCCGACGACCAAATAGAATGGAGTCTTGTCCTCGAGGAAATCAAAGGTTTTATCACTGCGGATTCTTTAGTCACGGTTCTCCATGCCGATACCAATCCCATCGTTTTATCACACAGGTAAAGAAAATTGATGCTAAAAAGAGCACGTTTTCACTATTCTTTTTCCAGACTAAGCCCACTAACCACACCTCCAGTAGAAAAATCGCAATTTATGAATTTAACACTGCAAGAAATTTTGATCGTCGGTAGTGCTTCTGAACAAGTCAAGTTTTCCGAATTAACAATGGACATGTTCCGCATGATTCAAACCCTCGAAAGGGAACCTCAGGAAGATTACAATCATATTTATGATGCTTCTCCAGCACCAGGACGTGTTCCTTACGGTGTACCTGGGCAGAAAGGGTACCACTTTTGGAATCAAAGTCGATTAAATTGTTATCGATTTTTGTTTTCAGTTACATTGAGAATGGGGAAAGACCATTACGGCGTGAAAATCCTCACAAGTATCTCTTGTATAAACCAACGTTGAGTCAAGTACTGGTATTTTTGGCTAGTGGTTTTAAAGAATTGCCAGCTAATGGAGCACTTTTACTTTATTTATCTTCAGATGGTTGTTTTTCGACTACCAAGCATCCGGAAGACAGTAAGTTTCAGATTATAGTAATAAGAAAACTCACACATACTTACATATTCAAACTTTATTTCGTATTTAAAAAAATGCAAATGCATTAGAAATTGATACCGCTGCACAGTCGCATTAAACTCATTTAAATATATTAATTTCCTTGAAAAAATATTATAATGAATTGTGACCTGCAATCTATATAAAACCTCCTCAAGTTGGTAATCGATGTACGATTGTTTAATTATACATACGACTTTAATTGCATACCTGACAGCAAAGTTATACTAAAATTTCTTCTGCATTAAGTCTTAATGAAATTATAACATTAATGAACCCTAAAGAACTCATTTTTCAATGAATATGTTTCATACCGACGAAATACCACTAAGTAGTTTCTTTTTACTTCCCAGCGTAAGCTAAGGAAGTACATATAGTACTCGAGTCCATCGCCCGAATTTCTTATACATGGTGACTCATAAAAAATAATGGATGAGTCAATTTATTTTATTGATTAAATCGGAAACGGTTCACTCCATTTTCCCGGAAATTTGGGACCCATCCAAAGTGATATACGTGTCTTTCCCAAAATGTTGATGACGACATCACAAAATTTTGTTAAGGGAAAACTCATTTGAAACATATCTTTACTTTCACTTATAAGGGTTCTCATAAAAAAATTAAAAAAATTCGCATAATCAAATTTTACAATATTTCTAAAGAACAAGATTTATTTTATTGTATTTCGGGGGCGAGGGAAGTTATGTTGAAATCATATTTTTTTAATTTACAATTCAGAAAAATTATCTAGTCCAGATCGTCATGTTAAATCTCTCCTAAAATTGTTGCAATATTCTAAAACTTCCAGAGGGTTTTTACAGCAATTTTTGACATTTTGCTGAAAATGGCAGAATTTACTTTGTTTGAACAAAATAATATTGTATGAAGTGCTAACTTGAGGATTTTTTTGTTGAATGCAGGTTGCAATATGCGCCAAAAATGTTTTTAAATACAAAAGTTCTAATTAAAGGTGATATCTTAAAAGATTTTTTTTTACCATAAATACTTTGTGAACCATTTAACTATACGCACCTTATACCCAAAACCACACACCACATGAAAGTGAACCATATTATAATATAATTTTGGCATAGATAACTAAGTCACACTAATTTTTGTTTTTTTTTCTGTTTTTAACTAAAATTGTTTTAAAAGGCTTGTGAACTACTTTTCTTTTACGATCTTCTGATTTATACTGTATAGTTGAAATACAACACTTATTAGATATGTATTTCATTTGCGGTTGAAAATAAAAAAAAATTGGTCGAAAGTTATTTCGACAGGACTTCCCTCGCCCCGAAGTGCAATGCCACAATTCCGCTTCTTCGAAAAATTAAAACATTTGATTTTGCGAATTTGTATTCAATAAAACAAACACAAGAGTAAGGTATTTTAGAAAATTTATTATAAACATTTTTGAGATGTCATGACATTGATAGGTAGATTGGCCAAATTTTGGTTAGAATTTTACCATCTACACGATATTCTTAACATACATATAAATAAAAGACAATCGGTCCGGTAGTTTTGGAGATTATCTGCCTAATAAAAATCTGAACAGACTGTACACAGACTGAGCCACGAGACCTAATTTTTCATGCTCTATGGGCCATGAAATGTCGAGAAAACATAAAATTAGCCAGTCGCCCCCCCGATAAACTTGATTACAATACTTTCTTTGCTTACGCTCAGGAAGTAAAAATAAAATTTGCAAAATTAAATTGTATAATTTTTCAAACATTTTGTATTTTATAGAACGTGTATTTCCACAACACCGAAAACACAATATAGACGCGTTTCGCCAACCACGTTGGCATTATCGATGCATGCTTACAATAACTTCAAAACGTCAAGATTTCAAAGTATTCAGTTTTGCAATCCTTGATTTAATCAATAAAATAAAGTGACTCAGTGATTAATTTTTTCAGACACCCCGTATAAGCAAATCTAAAAAATATTAATGCAGTGATAAAATCACAAGTATAGACTCATCATACTTTGCACATTTAAGATAGGATTTTTTCAGCAAAATTTTTGGATGGCGTCATCAATTTTTTATGGGGGATGAGCAAATACATTTTGATCAAAAATTTACCAGGTTGATGATAAAAAACATCTCCAAGATTTCAAAGCATTCGGTTTTGTAGTTCCTGATTAAAAAATTTGATTGTTGTCAAATTTTGTATGTATATTATAAATATCATGTAGATGGTTAAATGCTAACCAAAATTTTGCTGATCATCCCCACCAACAATTTGATGACGTTATTTCAAAGAATTCTGTGTTTATTTGATTTAACTGTTATACAACAATATACCCCTGTAAGTGTGGTGCACGGTATAATACTTATTAAGGCTGCGGGATGGGAACCGGACGTCGCGCGTTCGATTCCAAGCTTGGCCTTTCGTGTATTCGCTGTTTTTCTTTTTCTCTCACATTCTGTATTACCTATATTTATGACGTCATAATAAAGTTTTTATTGGTCAAATTAAGAACGAATCACCCCATTTTCTCGAAAATATAAGAATACGCACGTGTTTATATAATAATGATAAAATAAGAATTATAATATTCAGAATATTTTGTTCGATTGTAGTAGTTTAATTAATAATTTTAGTTCTCTGTTTTGAGAAAACAAACTCATGCAAATCAAACTAATTTCTACGTAACATTCTTTCGATGTATAAACATAAATAAACACTTGAGCTTCAGATTGCTAGTACCTAGTGCTGAAGGACATTTTATCCTGTTAGTTATGTGCTTTAAATATATTTTACATTGTCCGTACGGCGCACGAGCTGTCGTTGGTTTTTACTTTACAACGGTTATTTCAAAACGAAAATCGTAAAATCAAATTTTGTAATTTTTTTAGAGAGCTGGATTTGTCGGATTATACTTCAAGGGCGAAGTAAGTTCGGTCGAAATAGCCTTCGACCAATTTTTAATAATATATAACTGTAATCGCAATTTAATGGTTTATCAAAATCCCTTAAAAAATGTACATTGCAATTTAAAAAAATATACGTCTGTGTCACAAAGCCCACGCCATATGTGCGTCATATTTGCAATGTACCAAATTAAGAGTTCCCCTTCGAGCTAAAAACAATGGCGTTTGCAGATTTGCAATATCTATACCCGTTCTCAAGATATAAGGCTGCGGAGTTTTAACTGGGGTACCTCACTCACACTAGTAACAAAATGAACCGAGAGCTCTAATTTTTTTTGTAGGAACATAATTTAGATAGACATTTAATAAATTTAAAACTACTGCCGTAGTTTCTTAAAAGATACATTCTAGTACAAGAATGTTATTATAAGAATTATCGTCATGTTTAAGCAAATTATGTTGCTATAAACATAAATTTTAAATTATTTTAAATTAAAGTAATTGAGTAATTATTGAAAAAAAAATGTATGGCACACGCGAATAACGCAACTTTTTTCAGTCATGATAAACTCGTGTATCACACTGCACGCTTGTGGATAAAATATGATTTAATGGGTGGGCTAAAAGTACATAATATCTTAAACAATCTCTAAGCAAATTTTTTTAGCCGACTTTTAACCTACCCTTTAAATGCTGAGTTATTTTGACCTTCCCTCCAACAATGGTACTGTGAATCACTGTAGATGATATAAACTAAAATTTTCAGTTGGGAGAGCTTTGAAGATGTTCAGATTACTTGAATTTTTGAACATGAATTTCACGTCACGACGGTTCCCGGTGGTCATGGCGTCGTGAGACTTTGGAAATGACGTCATTCCATTGTTGATGGGAATGATCAGACAATTTTGGTTAGCGTTTTACATCTATTCCTAACATACATTTAAAATTTGACAACAATCGATTAGTTTCCGAGATTATCTGTCTGTCTGTCTGCCTGTTTGTCTGTCTGTCGTCTGTGTCGTACTCCAGACAGATTTCAGTAGTACAATGAATAAAAATGTGTCGAGGTAAAATTTCGTAGAGTTACAAATTCTTGCTTCAGTACCCTGCTTCACTCGACGTGGCCTTATTTTTATTATACGGAATACACAGTGTAAACATTTTTCACGATTCATGATTATATGCATTCTAAACGAAACTTCGACAATCAATTTTTCATTGTTTGCAATTAATTCAATATCTTACCAAATTTAAATAAGTACTACCACTAATGTCTAAACCACTCACTAAATTTACAGTTAGAGATGATTTAATTCCGAAATTTTTCATTATAGACTATCGTTATGTTATGTCATGGTCATGACAGAGAGATCGACAATAACGAATCTGGCAAATAGGCTACCAGGGTTTTTTTTTTAATTCGACAATTTTGAGGGACTTTGGTGTTCTGTTTTTGGAAAATTCTGACCTGACCTGTTTTTGCGTTAATTTTTTTGAAAAATTTTAAGCAATCTTGTGGTTCTAGGTATTCCTGTTTGGAAAGAATTTGAAAGTGCTTTGGAGCCTCTAGTGTCTTTTCTTATCATAATTTAATTAAATTTTTTAGAGAATACGTCATTTGCTAAAATCAGTCTTATCTTAGCAAATACTAGTCCCAGCCGCCCGCCCTTTTCTTATAGGATATGTCATTTGCCAAAATCGATCTTAATTTAGCAGGTACTAACTCCGCGCACCCGCCCTCTATTTTCTTAGAGGGATCTCATTTGCCGAAATCAGTGTTATCTTAGCAGCTACTAGCCCCGCCCACCCACCCTCTCTTTTCTTAGAGGGTATCTCATTTGACAAAATCAATTTTATTTTAGTAGCCCCGCCCACCTGCCCTCTCTTTTCTTAGATGGTAACTCATTTGCCAAAATCACTCTTATCTTAGCAGGTACTAGCCCCACTCATCCTCTCTTTTCTTATTAGAGGGTATCTTATTTGCCAAAATCAGTGTAACTAAAACTGATGAAAATTTGGAAACATTACGAGCTTACTTATATGCACAAGGCACGAATTTTGAACATCTTGTCTAGTGTTCAGTTGGTTATGCTTTAGTGGATTTTTCTTTTGTTGGTTTTATTTTTGTTTGTAATTTATAAATTTCTTATTAAATAGTGTACTGAAGAGTGAATCCGCCATTTTCCAGACACCCTGTATAGCAAGATTTCAACAAACCACTTGATAATCCAGGACAAATTAAGTTTCATGCACTAATTTTTCTCATGCTTCTAATTTTTTCCTACATGAGCTGCTATTTTTTAAACTTGAGAGTTTTCAACTCCCTTCTTTATTCATTAAACTAATATGGTCACATCTGACTAACCGATGGAATTATTAACTAATTTTATAATGGTTCCAATTTTTTCGCGTTTAATACGTCCAGTGTACCCCAGAATTCCAACCTGGGACCCCTTCTGTTAAAATTTCTTCTGCTAACTATTAATAGTCATTTCCTGGAGTGTAAAAATTAATAGTAAATATTTATAATACAAATGGTACCATTCTAATTCTATTTTCTTAGTTTTGTTTTGTCCGTCTTACTTTTTTTTTATAGCGTCAACTTAGTGAAATGACTTTTTCTGCCTTTGTACTAAGTAAAAGAAATGTTTTAAAATTTGTCTCACTCAAAATAAGTAGACAGAAGATACCCAGAAAAAGAAATAGAGATGAATATGCTTCTGGAGCGTCATCACTGCAGACTAGACGAGATTTTCAGTGCGTACATTTTTTTAAAGCTCTGTGCCTTAGAATTTTTAACACCAGATGATACAATAAGGGTTTATAATAGCTTTAAAGCTGCTTGTATTTATCTGTGGCACCGTAGCTCTCAAGAGGATGAACCGATTTCAACAAGGTTTTATTTTGTTTTTGTTTTATTTGAAAGCTAGTTTAATCGATATGGTTCTTAGCTATGTCTAATGATAATCAATTTAGTCATTTCAAGATCATCAGCTCGTAGTCAAAACACAGTTGATGTAGGAATCAGCTCAATTCGCGCGAAGATAGGGATAGGGCGTCGACCGTCGCAGCGAATCTTAACCAATAATTTCAGAATTTATAAGGGTTCATTTTTATTGGTGTCGGGAGCTTTTAAATTTCTTCACTTGGTTATTATATTTTTCTTGTATTTTTGTTATACTGTCCAAGTTAGATTGCAGTCTGTTCAACAGTAAGTTATGTCTTTGGTTAAAATTATCTTAGATCTAATTAATCCATTAAAGAACTCCAAGTGAACGATGGTGATTGTGGAAAAATAATAACCAAGCAGACTTAGATATAAATTAAGATTTAAGACGTCGTTCAAAGTTTGATTTATTTTTTGTATAAAATTAATATCTAGTACAGCTACCTTGGGAAATAATGGTAAAGGCTTGAAGTAAGTTAGACTAAATCGACGATTTAAATTAGCCAGGTGTTAAGTTATGTAAGGAAAAAATAGTCTATCCCATTTCAAATGTGACCTCCCACCAAATTTAAAAATTTAGTAGATCAAAAATTATTCCATTTTTTTTGTCCCTTATTTGGCTATCTATTTCTTCGATATAAACGATATAACGAAATCAGTTTTATGAGTTTTTCAATCAGTATTTCAATTTTATGGCAACTCTTCCTTTTATTTCAGTGGGATATGATCTTGGCGGAGTGCTGACTAGCAGCAAAAGAGACGGAGAGCACAAAAAACAGAAGGAAGCTCACTGCCTTTACCCTGGTGACTTGTACCCGTTCACCAGGCGACCGTTATTTGTTGTCGTTGATTCTGATAATAGTTTCGTTTTCCAACACATTCCCCGGTATTTTGGACAGCCTTTAGTTACGTTAATGTCACCCCAAGACACACCGCCTGCGTTCCAAGGTACGTGTTGACTGGTAGCCCACCAATAAACAGCAAGCAAATTTTGTTTTCCAGATCAACAGCACAACGGCTCCCTGTTCACACTTTTCCTCCATTCGCCGCTGACCGCATTTTGTTACTGTTGCAATTTAACGAGCATCCCGATCCACCACTGGGAGCGGTGCCAGAGCTTCGTCGACCGGTTCGTCACGGAAGCATCGCGTCTCTTCACGAGATCAAGAGTCGGTGAGTATGACGAAGGTATGTTGGTTTTAGTACTGTGCTGTTTTCGACTTCCCTAGAGGTAGAGTAGAGGTAGTTAGACGTAGATCTAGTTTTAGGTGTTGCTGTGTCGATATGAAGTGACTGATGGTAAAAAGTATGTCTTGTAGATTCCTCTTATCTGCAATTTTTCGGGGACGACTTCTTGCGTCTGCTCCTGCTTCGTTACGTATTCTGTGACGTAGTGTTGCACCTTCATAGGGCGTTCAGGGGTCGGCAGTATCGTCCTCGGTGCCAGCCGCCGCTTCCTGAAGCGGAACTTCTGGAGCACCCTTCGCTGCAGCATCTCGTGTTGGATCTGGCGGCACATCTCGAGGTGCGCACCCATTTCATGGAGAACCATGAAATCGACTGATCCAGGGCTTCCTCCTCATGGCCATGTGTGGGGTTTAGTGACATCTGGAGAGCGTCTTCGAGGCAGACCCATGAGGACGGACTCGCCGCATCTCGGAGAAAAGCTCCTATTCAATTTTTACTGCTGATCGCCTTCGCTGCTGTGTTTATGGTTACAAACGCGCATTTTTTGTGGAATATTATGGAAGCTTTAAGATTTTTTTGGACTCTTTATATAGTTCGCGATGGATTTTTGAAATGTAAAATTTGCCCAGTATTAACAACACATCAAGTAGTTATTCGAAAATCAGGAAAGCATAAATCCATCACCAACGTGAAGAACACGTTTTTGTGTCTCACTTCGTCGTGGTTAAAATTATCGTATTTTTGGACACCTTTTATGGACTTAGGTAAATTAAGTACGGTGATATTAATATAGCTCAAGTTAGAGCACAACGTCTTTCAATATCCGTTCACTAGTCGAGCAATCGTTACTTATCTCGACGTTGGACCTTCAAACTACTACGTTTTAACATCGCCACTTTCCCCAACATCCTTGTATTATAATATTATTCCTCTTATTAAATCCGTGACCAACAGTGATTGATACGCCTTTCGTGCCGTGTACGATACGCATTACTTATTAAAAAATTATTGAATGCATGAATTAGAGAATTAGACGACGCTACAAACATTCGTGACTAATACTTTTCTCACTTACTCTAAGCAAAATGTACCACCAAAACGCCAAAAAGCTTTTTATATCGAAAATCTGGCTATTCGCATCTAGTTATTATCAAATCTACCATTTATTCCTTCTTTTACAACTTAGACTAGTTAACTCCTTTAGATATTTACAAAAAAATTAAAAGTAGTTGTCCAAATTTCAATACTTTTAACCCATTCGAATTGGTGGTGCATTTTTTCTTTTTTGTTGTTTTATTAAAACAGGAAAGCTAATTTATTCATAAGGACTCGTTGCACGTCAAATGGACAAGACTTTAAAAATGCCTTCAAAAGGACATTTAATTTCGTTAAAAAAATAGCGGAATATATTAAACTGACATTATAAGAAGAACACACAATGAAGACTAAGAACGCGTGTGGAGGAGAGAACATTTTCACTACTTATCCATCTTTGCGGTGACTTCTAGCAAAGGGTTGTAAAATTACAAAAAAAAAAATGTACGCCGAAAGTTCGAACATTTTGCAGAAATTCATCTTGTAATCATCTTAAATTTAATTTCATAACAACTCTTTCACTAGGAGCTCACGAAAAAATAAGCATTAAAAATCGTTAAATGTTTTTTCTCTACACTATATCGAAAGTCTGGTACAGCGTAGCTAGATAATTTTTGCATATATGATAACTGTACTTCACCTAAAATCTTCGCTGTCACCCTTCGAGTTTATTTATTTATTGATACATATGACAAAAACAATGTAACCACAAATATGCAATTGTTAAATACAAGGGTTGCCAAAAAAATCTAATCATATTAAAAAATGCTCTTTGAGCAGCGTCATTCGTGATCACAGTTGGCTGTGCTTCAGAAAACGTATGTCGGTACTTTTTAAACTCTTACCCTATTTCTCTACGGCTCTGAAAAATTTGAAGTTAAACGTCATGACTTTGACTCAGTGACTTTTGCACAATCGTATCGATCAAGTATAGACTCAAAAGTTTGTTTATTTCCTCGGGGTGCTTCTCTGAACCCTTTATCATCTAGATTAACAAATTCCTAAGATTTTTGTTAGTTAAGAGAACAGACTTTTGAGAATTAACATAACTTCAACGGTTTGCGTGTTTTTCACAACTGCATTAATGTGCAGTCGAAACAAAAAAAAAGTACCAAACTGTCAAACAGGAAATTTTGTCAAAATTGTTGAAAATAAACTGACTGTAGGTAATTGCTAATTAACGGAGATTTACAAAAGATCTTACTTTTAACATTTGTAAGTATGTATCTTTCAAAAATCCTGTGGTACATATTCTTAGATTCTACTAAAAGTAGTACGATTTAGAATTTTTAGAATGAAATGAGGTAAATATTTTTTTGGCGCACTATATATTTGACAATACTGTATATAATTCATAAGTATTCTAAATTTCAACACTTTATACTTATAAATAAAATTCTTAGTTTCAGTGCAGGCTTTGTCAGTAAATAATTTAAAGCTTATTTAGAATTTGTATATATTATTATTATATTATACCATACAGGGTGAGCCACACAGCGTGCGGCTCTCGATGTCTAATTTATTTTTAGAAATAGAAAAAAGTCAGAGACTGAAGTTATACCGTTCTTTGAGTAACAAAGACTGAAGTTATTGTCAAGTATAGAGAATGTTTTGTTTTTGGGGCGTGGCAACCACCTTAATTTGTTCAATTAAAACACCCTCTATATTTTTACTTTAGAAGGGTTGACAAAAAAATCGCAATAATGTTATTTTTAAGAGCTGAGAGTAAATTTTAATAGACACAGTGTTTAGAAAAAATTCTAGAACGTTACAATTTTAAATATCCAGTTTTTTTTTTCAAATAAAACAACATCTGTATTATTACTAATTTTTATTCTCTTTCTTTCAATATGTCGGTATGTTGCTTAAAAAGTAAAAAATTAAAATAACTATGAACTTTAAATGTTTAAAAGAGAATAAAAAGGGAATCAGATGCAGTAATAAAATACAGGTGTTCTATATGAGAAAACTGAAATATCGATATTTGAAAATTGTAACAAACTATTTTTTTTAAAACTCTGTATGTTAAAACTAACTTAAAACGAAGAGGGTAAAAATAAATAGGGTTTTTAATTAAAAACAAAACTGAGTTGTGGGTTACACCTTAAAAACAGAACACTCTGTACAGTTGAAAATAATTTTAGTGAATTTTAGAACCGTACAACCTTAGTCCTTAACTTTTTTTCTATTTTTAATAGATAATGAGATATCGAGGAGCGCTTGGTGGCTGATTCTGTATATATACACACATACAGAATGATTCGTAATATATGCGGAAAACTTGAGAAACGTTTTCCTAACATGAAAATAAGAAGAAGAAAAGTTTTTATGCCCAAAAATATTGAATTTACATGTTAGAAGTTACAAGGTGTGTCATAATAATTAAGATTTTTTTACAAAGCAACAATTTAAAATTGAATAAACCACCGTCAACATCCTTTTATTTTCCACTGCATTAACAGGTACACGTTCAAAAATACCGAGTGTTTTGAATTGTTTTACAAGATGCAGGAATACAATTTCGAAACTCGTCAACATTTTCTTCAGTGGGTGTTACAGTTTTGTCCCCTTCGATATTCAAATTTTCCATTTGGGCGTCACTTTAAATATTTAATTTATACAAGGCCCATTAAAAATGTTGATTAATTACGGAATCGTGTTATAGCATCTTGTCGCATGTAAAATAATTCAAAACGTCTAGCTTACGGTCTACAATGCAGGGGAGGATAGAAACATGTAGGTCATGTAGATCATTTTCAGTTTTATTCCACTTTATATTGTGCAAAAAATCTTACTTTATTATTAAGTACCCTATAACTTCAAAACTAAGCATTTTTGAACATATATTAATAATCACCCTGTATACAAAACAACAAATATATACATTTATAAAACTTACAACGTATTATAACTGAAGTGATATCTAAATTGACACAATTACTTGTGTTGTATAAAATTATGTATAAAGTATTTATATCGAAAACAATCGTCCAAAGCTGTGTCCATTTGACAAACGTACAATTTGTATTAAAAAGTAGATAGATTTCATTGTAACCACCACCATGTCTCTTATTAACACTGCTCATCTTAAAAAATAAATTAGCTTTTCTGAAAAGTATGAAATGAAGTTGTTGAACTTTTATGTAATGGTTCGTACCAGTTATAACTTATTCACTACGGACTTGTCAACTAGTAATTCTTCTTTTGCGATATTCAGCAACATGACTGATCTTACATTTTTAAATGAGGCAAGAAGACTGTCATGTAAAACCAAAATTAAAATACACATAATAAGATCATGAAATGTGTAATAAATAAGTAGTTGGCACGAACCATACACAAACAAAATTTTGTTGTTACATTCATACTTAACTACATTTTCCTTACATGACTACATCTGTTCATGTATTGTAAATAACTAGTACTGGTTACCTATTTAATAACAAATATATCATATTATGCAATTTGCTTGAAATGTAAAATTATAAAACTTTATTAGGAAAGTTAGAAATTTACACTTGCATGGTGTTTAGAAATAAATAATTTTTTCTTAATTTGACTTTGAAGCAGGTTGCCGTTTAACTGTTAATTTGTTATCAAGCTAAAATATTCATTCTAGAAATCATGCAAGTTACGAAAATTTATTTACAATGGCACAAAACTGTGCGAATGTTCATATGATTGATTCACAATTTAATAAGTGAATTTGTATTTAAAACTACTAATAGATAGTTTTGCTAATCCATATCATAATTATTATTGTTTTACTATAAAATTTCACACAATACATACCAATTATAGAAGCTAAAAGCTTACAAAATGTAGATACAGGTTTCATTTTAATTTTAAAAACTTTCATTCCTTTGACTTGTGTTTGATTTGTGCCATTCTTCATTTTACAACGTGAGACCTAATTGCCATTCAAAATAGTTACATTAAAAGTCATCACAATTACATAGCTGTTTTTTGTTAAATGTAACTGCGTACAACATCTAATGAATTATGGCACAATTTCTGTTTGATGTTTTTCATTTTACCTAATTTTAGATTTTAAATAAGTGTTAACTTGTGTTCTGTGTTGCATTATTTTTATGTGACAAGTTAATTGATACAACTTGTAATACATTATAAATACACACATTATCGATTCAATTACAATATTACAAGTTTCACGAATCAGTTTGTATATCAATGTACCTATCCCCTCACCAGAACCCACATCGCCATAATTTTTGAAACACAAAATATTTTATCAGTTAATAAAAAGGGAGTTAAGGATCATCTACACAAAAATACAGAAACAATTGGTCTAAGGTTATTTAGATTAACCTAAAGATAAACCACAATTATAGACTCACATTTTAGATAGAATTTATTCGGCAAAATTATAAGATGACGTCATCAATTGAGGAAAGAGAAATTAACGGATACATTTTGATTAACGATTTAGCACGCTTACGATAACCTTACGTACCTTACAAATACTTCAAGGTATACAGTTTTACAGTTCCAAAGTTAAACTGTGGACTATTGTTACACAATTTTGATTTTTTTCAAGAGTCTGAATGTCTAGAATAAAATGTCAAAACTGACTACATTTTAATTAAGTACTAAAAATTAGCTATAATAGTTTAACGTTATTATTCATTCAGTTCTATCAGCAACTGGATTTATCATTTCCCAAAAATATCTAGTTTCACTAGTTTTTGTTCTTTTAACAGTGTGGTGACAATTGACACAATTACTCAAAATACGTCCGTAAATAACATATTATCATATCAGCCAATAATTTCAAATTACCGCCCTTGTGTTTTTTTGTTTATGTTATCAATTGTCTAAACCTGACTCACACATTTGTAAACACGCTCATGCTGTAGGATAAAATGGACCGTATCCGCTGCATCTTGTTCAATGTAATTTGGTCTTATCCAATAATGTACATTTTATATTATTCGAAATATAAAACCTACAATAACTACGAAAGAAAACATGTTCAACATGGTGAAACGGTGCTACAATGAAAATGGTCTAAAGAATAAAAATAATTAACACCAAATATGTGTTCTCATTAAAAATGATTATGTGTAAAATGGATTTTTCGGTTTTGTGGAACCAGTTATTATTGAATCCTACAACGGTCTGCTTCCAACCAAATTCCTTAATTGATGGAATCCAGTTAATTACTCCCTACGTCACATCGGGCGATACTAATTCATCAGTGAGCTCAGAAAGCAGTACACCCCTTCAAGAAAACGAGAACGAAGTAGACGACGATAATAATTTGACAAACGATGAGGTTAATGAAAGTGAGGATAATCAAGAAATTAATTCCAGTAAAGAGGATAAAGTTTCGCAGAAAAAATCTATTCAAAGAGTAAGGTTAGATTGATTCTATATCGTCCTTCGAATTATTATTATTATTTGGTTTTTTTATTGTACAGATATTCAAAAGAAGAATATAGATGCACACAATGTCCATACACGTGTACCACAGAAAAAGCCTTCCTACATCATCTACGATGGTGCGAATGCCAAAATTCGACCTCAGACAACCATCTACTTTCTTGTCCTATATGTGGTAAAGATCGGCGCAACGAAGAAACACTTTCTGTTCATATGGCCAAACATAAACAAGATAAACATTTTTGTTGTGATATTTGCAAATTTAAGACCCTTCAACTGAAAAAGGTAAAATAAAAATAAACTTCAATAAAAAAAATTAAAACTAGAAAATTATTGGATACCTAGTACATTTTAACCACTGTAACCCTTGTTTTCAGCTAATACAACATCGAAGAATGCACACAGGCGAAAAACCGCATTTGTGTCCTTTTTGCAGTTATAGATCATCCAGAAGAGATAATCTACGATCACATGTTAGACGAGTCCACAAAAAAGAAGATTTACCATGTGATACTTTTACACCTAGAAGTATGGTGCTATCTCCAAGAAAATTAAATTAATAAAAAATTTAAAAATCTTAAACTAATAAAACTAAGAAAAATGACTTGCAATATAAAAATTATAAACCACCCAACTAATAATTGTGAATAAATAATACCAATCTAAAAAATAAAATACGTGTATGTGTTGTAAATTTTGACGTTAATAATGTAATTGCCACACAATTTGCAGTGTTGGTTTGTTTAAATCCTAGAACGTGAATAGAGTATATAATAACGTCATTTAACATATATTGTTTATTGTTTACTTTGTTATCAAATGATAATCAAATAAATATGATGGGCACAGACATACCAATTTCTGTTAGTCATGCATAATTAATATCCTGGCGCATCCACCATTTTCATGCGGAACTGAAAAATCTTATGCACTGTTTCCCAGATTTACTTTCTTTGAAAAAATACAAGATTATTTCTAGAATTTAAAGAACGGCGCATGATTGGGGTTTGTGTTACTATTTTTGGGTTCCTATTGTCAACACAAATTAAACTATTAACTGAAATTAGTTTACATTATATAACTTAGGTGAAATAAAAATTGGTCGAAAGTTATTTCAACAGTACCACTTATCCACGTATCTAACATGCTGTGCACATGTTTGAAGTGAGTTTTGCAATATTTCATGATGACGTTAACATTCTAGCAAGGACATGTACATATTTTTTTTAATATCAATTTGGATACATGGTGTGTAATACTAACAATAGCAATAATTTTCTACAAAATTGGATGAACCGTTCTTGATTTAATCAGTAAACTAAATTCTCATTCATTAATTTTTTGAGTCATCATGTATGTATAAGCAAATGTAAATAAGGTGTTACTCATAATAACCATACACTATTCTAAGACTAAGTTTTGTACTCATACAAATAAAAAATTCGTCGGAAATCCAACCAATTCAACTTTTTCGGAAAATTATAAAATAAAATACATAAAGTACAGATAAACCAGTCAGAGTGTAAAAAAATAGATATATGGGAGATCGGGCCTCTGATCCTCCAGATGCAAAGCTAATGTTTCGTGACTAGTATTATGTATTTAAAGAACAGCATAACCACAATCAGTCCGATAGTTTTGAAGATTATCTGTCTATCACCGACGACAGACGACAGACAGACGACAACGAAAGTAGTCATTTTCCAGATGGACTCAAGTACAATACTTCCTTATGCTCGAGAAGTAAGGAGGCGTATGAATAAAATAGAAATAAATAAATTAAATTATAGACAATATTATGGCAATCAACAATGCTAATATCACCAATAAGAAAATTAAATATTGTTGAAAAATAAAAACAATTAACAAAATTATGAACGTGCCTGTTCCGGAATCGTATTTGAAATAACCATAAAATATTATTGCAATCATTATTCTTTCTTGATTCTCACACAACTCGGAGCGCTTAATTAACCTCAAATTTTGAAAAATCTCCTTTGTGTATCTCTTTAATGGAACTAAAATAATCTTGGTAATTATTTTTTAAATTGGCTTGTTTTAGATAAGGTAACACTTTCCACTCCATCAGTGTAAATTTTTATCACTTACAAGCAGGCCTGTGTCAAGGTTATTACTTAATATTGGAGTATCAGATAGGCTCAAAATATATTCCCTTGAGTTTTATATACGTAAAATTTCCATGATTTCTTAACCGTGTATTGTAATGCCCCATTTAGTATTATCTTTACCATTTTTCACCTCTAGCAAGAATTAACTTGACTTTTTTTTCTATAAATCTCACCTTACACCGAGTGAAAAAGAAAATTCTGTTGCTGTCTGAGTTCAGTTCTATTTGATATTGAAATTATATTGTTACGAAAGAAACCCATACTCGGCCCGGGTTCTAGTATATACGGCGATGATGACTCATTGTCGGTGATGGCGGCCGGAGAAAAGCCTGGAAGCGGAAATCGCGATGGGCAATCCAGAAAGACCTCGACTGCGGAACTTCTAGAACGAAAGTATGGGTTTAAATAAAGGCCTCCGGCGGGGACGATTATTAATCAGTTGATTCAGTCAGCGAGGAGTACAGCGAACGAATTCAGTCACGTTGTCCCGGAATTATTTTGTACATAATCGCTGTATTAGTCGTGTGAATCTGAGTTAGTAAGAAATAAATTTTTGAGTTTTACCCACGCCGATTTTTGAACACCGTACATCGTAACAATACCATTAATTAAGATTTGTATTTAATACACACATTTGTTCCACACTAGGTTATCAAAAGCACTAAAGCCTTAATTACAAGTAAAAAAGTTGCTCATAAACAAACAACAAAACTTCAAAAACTATGTTTTTGCAATTTAATGCATATATGCAAGTAAAGATTAAATACCATTACAAATCAAGCAATGGTTATTATTCTATAATAATCAAACATCCCCTTCTTTCCTATTTACAGAAGTAAAACATTAAATATCCGATTCTTCGGAAGAAACAAATATTTAATGTCCGCAAACGAATCTGACAATAGCGTCTAATAATAAATATTCATTGCGAATATAATCTCAATCGGACTTATACTCTTCGAACTATATTTTAAACAGACAATATTATTATGAAATAAACCCATACGCCGCCCCGGTACTACGCCTATGGGCCGTCGAGAACTTTCTGGTCTGTACGGCGATGATGACTCATCGTCAATGACAGCGATCGAGGGCTAAAGGAAAAGCCTGGAAGCGAAATCCGAACGGCAATCCAGAAAGATCCCGATCGCCGCACGTCTAGGGAAGTATGGGTTTAAATAGAGGCCACCTTCGGGAACGATTATTATTCAGTCAATCGTTAAGAAATAAATTGTTGAGTTTAACCCACGCCGATTTTATTCACCGATCAACGTAACAATATTATTACAAGGTCTATCGAAAACATTACACAGATAATTCAAAACTACGTAACTGACGACTATGAGATTTTAGTATTTCAAAATTATCGTGTTGATAGCGAAACGCTTATCGTTTAACGTTCGTGCGAGTCTCTGATGTGCTAACCATACATTTTATTTGAAATTTACAGGGTAACATACTCATTTAACATTTACTTGTAAGATATAATAATGTATCCATATTTGTAGCATTACGCGAATATGTTATTGTAAAAGAAATAAACTTAACAAAATAAAGTTCTACATTGATTTCAGAATTACAGAATATCGACTAACTCACTTCCTTCAGAGAATAGATGACGTCATCTAAAAAACTGTCAAGAAAATGTTTATTAAAAAATATACCGTACAATGCAATGTTAATTGTGCTTGGGTAATACACTTTTGATTTTTAAAATTCTGCGCCCTTGTATCTTAAGAACAGATAGAACGTTACTGAAATTCTGTAAACATCATTGCTTTTACCTTGAAGGGGACAGCTCAATTCAGTACTTTGCAGTTCTGACACACACATGGTGTTGGCGTGTTAAGAATCCCTAATCTTATGTAAATTATATCACTCTGTCAATATAAAATATTCGGATGGATTTTGATTTTTCTTGTTTTCGATCTAAATTGAATTATGTACTTTCTTTGTTAGAATTCTGATATATAAAGAAGCCCTATTTTTGTAATCATTAAGAATATACTTAAGTCTTGTTGCGGAAAGTTAGTGTGATTGTAAACTGATTATTATTGATTATTATTATTATTATTGTTAAAATGCATGACCTACTAATATTTTTGAGCGGTTAAAAGTAAGGCGGCTCCAAGTATTTGGATCAGGTTCGGCAATAGCAGCGCAAAAAAATTTCATAATTCTATTGCCAACAACTCTGACTGCTTTGTTTTGTTCTTATTTGTTGATCATTCTGTATAAACATGTCTTACCATTTTGCTGTTGCCTAGAACTGGAACCTACTATATGCAACAGTATCTTTATGTTTATTACGTTGGTGAGGCAGATGACATGTTATGCACCTAAAAAAATATGTGACATTTGTAGTGTGACAGTCGTGACAGGAAGATTCTAACCAAAAACGTACTTTAACAAAATCAAAATATATTCGTTAATTTTAAAAAGTGGTGCAATTATCGGTGATTACGTAATCCATGCAGTTAGTCAATGGTCTTAACCAATTTTGCCTAATGCAGAAAGTAGCATGGATTTTAAACCACGCCAGTGCTAATTTTAATATGTTGATGTCTATGATTACACCAACATAAGCGCAAGAGACTTATATAAACATTTAAACATACTAGCATGTAGTAAACAATAAACAAGCAAGTTTTTGTAAATATACTTCCAATACGTAATGGGTGTCTGCTGGTGTAAACAAAAGCACGAAGAACATGACACCTATGTTCCTCAACAACACCACTCCAATAATCATAATATTAACGCTACAATACAGCCGGTATCACCAGTAGCCCCCCAGTATTACATTCGAGTTGCAAAAGCTCCTGATCCTCATCTTGTTGACAAACTTGTATTGGAAACACTAGGTGTCATAGCAACTTTAGTGGACAAGTAAGTCGTAGTGAAAATTGTTTACATATAATGTAACTGTGCATTCTTTAGTGAACAAGAGCCGCCTGCATCGATGTTACTGCTTCACAACATAGCTGATAACGAAGAAGGATTTATTCAAGTGGTAAACTCAATGATTAAAGTTGTACCATTGTCTGATCCGCTGGGGCCGTCGATTATAACATTATTACTTGATGATTGTCCATTACCTTCAAAGGAATCAGTATTCAAAGTAGTCGATATGTTGAACCTGTCGAAAGAATCAGCCATTTTGGGAAGACAGAATCCTTCAAGAGAGAGAAATATCTGTGTAGTTTTAGGTTGCATAGCAGAAACGTTAGCTGGTCCAAGAAATTTGAAAATTCTTAGTGATCCTATGTTAGACTATCTATTAACAAATTTGGTAAACGTAGTAATATTAACGTTTTTTTTTTTTTTAAATTTTTATTTTTAGGGACCTGAAACGGACCCAAATGTTGTGCTGTTTTCGCTAATAGCATTAGAAAAGTTTGCGCAGTCTAGTCAGAATAAATCTACTATATTGAAAAGGTTACATCAGTTAGATCCATGTCCAATTAATGCTTTAGAAAAATGGCGCTATGAAACCCACTACATTAAAAGACAAGTTGGATTTTGTGCCCAGTGGGTTTTAGATAACTTATGTAAGATAAAAGATTTCTAATGATTCATGATGAATAATCATGTCTTTTATAGTTGTGATGAATAATCGAAAATATTCCTATTTAACTGTCAATATGGAGAAAATAAACGCCATGTTAAACACCAGTGATGTCAGTGAGTATCTCAAAATATCACCAGATGGATTAGAAGCCCGGTGTGATGCTTATTCTTTTGAAAGTGTAAGATGCACTGCACAAACTGACTCCGGTGTTTGGTACTATGAAGTCTGCATCATTACTCCTGGAGTAATGCAAATTGGATGGGCTACAAAACATAGCAACTTTCTTAATCATGTTAATTCTCTCAACTAATTCTATTCACAGTAATTTCATTGGTACATTGTAGGAGGGTTATGGTATTGGGGATGATAAATATTCCCTTGCTTATGACGGTTGTAGAAAATTAATTTGGTATAATGCCAAATCTGAACCGCAAGACTTACCAGCCTGGCAGTCTGGAGATATCTTGGGGTGTTTCTTAGACCTAAATACACCACAAATCATTTTTTCTATAAACGGTATGAGGTTACCACCATGTACTCATGTGTTCACTATGGCTCAGTAAGTAGCGTGAGATACGTGAAATCAGTTATTTTAATTTAATAATGAAAATTCCAGATCAGGTTTTTTTGCGGCTGCTAGCTTTATGTCATTCCAACAATGTCGTTTTAATTTTGGTGCTGAACCATTTAAATATCCACCACCTGAAAACTTTTCGACATTTAATGAGCATGGCTCATTAAGAGCAGAGGATAAAGTGGTAATGCCAAGACATATTTTCTTGGACCAGTTGAGACAACAAAATATTAAAGAAGATAGCTGTACCCTTTGCTATGATCAAAAGGCTTCTGTTCGGCTTCTACCTTGTAAACACTCGTATGTGACCCATTTAGTATAAAATTTTCAGAGTTAATAAAATTTTGTTTTGCAGTGGCTTTTGTCCATCATGTGCCAGCCAATTGCTAGAATGCCCAATGTGCCGAGCACCGTTTGAATTAGTTGTAGAAGAAAATCCCTGACAAAATATTTTTATTAGGATAAATAAAAAATTATATGATTACCTGTAAGGTCGTAAACATATTTTTGTACAGATTTGTTGATTTTTAAAAGACACGGGTTCTTATTTAATGATTTAGTTATATACTATGACTTTATAGAAGGTTGTATTATTTTAAAAATATAAATATTCTATTGATTCCACACTTACAATCGGTGCAGAAAGCTGTTAATATTTTTATAAGAGATAATGTGAAACAACGCTAATGTGTCTACAAATTTAACTTGCTATCTGTGTATGAATTTTCATTTGACAGTGTACGCTGTAGTTTTAATTTCGCTGTGTATGTCAACGTTAAAAACTATTTTATTATAAAAAGATAATTTTAATTTAAAAAATATGTATATAATCATGTTATTATTTTATAATTTAAATTCATAGAATACTACATATAAATTATATTTTAATGTTACAATAAAACGTCTATTGCTTCAGGCATTTGATATATATTTTTTGCACAAACCTTAACGGCAGTTGAGAGTATGATGTGAGAAAATAGTGTATTGAAAATTAGCAAGAAATATATTCCATGGTCAAGTACACGTCAGGTGGGCAAAAACCATGCGTAAGCATTGATAAGATAGCTCAATAAGCAATTACTCATAGGCAGAATATTTCGACAGCCCCTCTAATCAGAAAAAGTTTTGATTACACGTTATAAGATTATTAGCTATAATTTTAATTAGCGTTTGCAATTAAAGCAATATTTTATCTCACTTATTAATGAAGTGATATACGATAAAACCATTTTTAAATGAATAACATTGGAACAAGTTGTCAGTACTAAGGTATCCCGTTCAGTATACAATCATTTTTAGGTATAAAGTCAATAGGTTTTATGATTATTAAATTTAATTATAATTAAACGATTCTACACAAAAAATATCTGTTATAGTGAAGATTTACAAAACAAAATCAGTTTGAATTTGTTTATCAATTGTCTCGCTATTGTACATATCAAAATGAGTTTTACATTTATAAGATCAACATTTTTATGATTATTAAAGAATTTCGAAATCAATTTAAAATTTGTAAAAAATATTGATTTTAACGGCTGATTTTCTTCTTCTCATAATAAATTCATAACTGACTAAAACAGGATTTGTGTCCACGTTTGTAAATCATTAGAACTTACGATGCAAGATTACAGAGCATTCGATTTTGCAATTTCAAAGTTAAATTGTAAAATGATTATAAAAAATTTTGGATTTTTTCCAAAAATCTGCATCTCTAGAGTCAATCAAGGCTGATTCATAAACCACAAGTCTTGGAGTATCTCATTTTACAAATTTAAATAAGATTTACTTTAGTGTAGGTATGCAAAATTTTGTGGTGATGTCATCACTAAAGCTCGGAATTATATGCAGAAAAAACATTTAAATATGCGCATATATATGCAGAGAAATTTGGAATTATATGCAAAAAATTGCTAAAATATACAAGAAATATATGCAAAATATTTTATTTCTGTCATTTCTTACAATGCATAACTTAGATAATATATACATATTTGGACTTAAACTACACATTTACAAATTAAAACTAACTATGTCGGTGTATTCTATCACTCTATTAACTAGCTATTTTCTTGACTACATTATTTACATTTATTATATTATGTTTTTCTAGATTTTCTATTTTAAATGAATGTCTTCGACCACTTAAAATATTTTTATACACTGAAAACTACGCTCTACATCGACAGATGTTATTGGAGCATATTTAAGTGACGACACAATTTGAGGATCGGATCTATATTTACCTCATCTGAAGACTGTCCATCTAAAACTTTTGGCACATTAGTTAGTCTAGTAAAACCCCCATTTTTACTAAGGACTTCGTTTAGTTTTTTGAGAGTGTTTGAGCAATATGACCTTGTGCTTTACCAATATTTATTTAATTTTCTATTAGCTGTTATTCACTTAGGGGTACTTTTTGTTAATGTTACACCAATTAATTCGTAGTTGTTATTTATGAAACTTAAGTTCTGATTTAATTTAGGACTATTGAAAATCTTTTTAGCTTAGAATGATTACTGCAGATGATACAAGTGCTATGAATCAAATTTGGATAAAATACTTTTAAGTGGGTTCCAGCTTTGACCATATATGTAGAAAGAATTAATACGATTTTATTAAATGGTACAGCATTGGGTAAAAATATGTTGGTTAAACTTTCTTGGACAAATCTACTTATAGTTACATTATTCGCCTTTTCTAAGTCTTTAACAGCGATTAAATAAGAATCTGACACAAGGTTTGCAGATAAAGTGCCAATTAATAAACTTGCTATATATCTGCCGCATACATCTGTTGTTTCGTCAACAACAAAGTAAATAAAGTTATTCTGTAAATGTGTCTTAATTTTAGCAACAGTTTCCTGAGAGTGCTTTCATCTGAAATAGTCCTTTTACAGTATTTTTCCAAAAATGAATTTAATGTAGAATTACTTAACTTATTTAATGGAATATTCGAGGCAAGCATGGCTTAGCATAAATCGAACTTGAATGTTTCCTTTTCATTTTTGGCTGTATTAGCAGATAAAGTTTCTCATATTGATGTTCGAGTTACACTAGTTAAGTTTCTTTTTTCACAATTTCTTTTGTGAAGAGGTGTTCTGCAGTGTTGTGTTATGTAAGAGATACCTATGATTGACATTGAATAACATGCAAAACATATAGTCTTTGCCATTTCTACTATACTGAAACACCACTTGTTAATCGTAAATTTGGCAACGTTCATATTCAGACAATTTTCTAACTAAAAGCCGTTGTCAATCAATCGAAAACTGTTACCAATTGCTAAATTTTAAGCAAAATCAACAGGTGGTGTTTCAATAGAAATGGCAAGGACAATAATTTTTTATTTAGTTCTCTTAGACTTTAGTATATTTTAAAAAACTTACTGCTTTGCCGCAAGCTCTGCAAAAACACCATCTCCGTCTAGAACCAACAAATGATAGTTTGAAAGACATTTTTTTAATTATTCGTAATATCACTGCTCTGTCGCCAAGTTCGTAGACGAATGATGAATAAATTGGGAAATCGAAGAAGGAAATACTTAAAAATCCATTCTAGGTTTTCCATCTCTTTCAACCCCTCGTTAAATACATTTGCAGAACTATCTATATTTACAACATCCTGATTAGAGGCCATTAAGTAAAGAATTCCAGTAATACGGCTAATTGGGGGTGCCCACAAATGAAGTCTTGGAAAAACCCGTCCGCATTACTAGAAAAAGTCGGTACTTACGGTGATTTGTCTGGATCGAATCATATTGTGCGTATCATCAAGAAAGATAACAGAATACTTTCAGTACCTAGATCATTAGCCAAGCCGACTCCTCTAGTACTCGCGAAATTGTATGAAACTTTTGTGAGGCTTTTACTTTAATAGGAAATTGATGGCTAAAGAGAAATTCCACATCAGAGTTAAACAAAAATTCATAACTAAAAGAGTATTTAATGACTGGAATGGCTTCTCATCAGAAATCGTTTTGGCGGAGTCCACATTGGATTTTAAGTCTAAATATATCTAAGTATATTATTCTCAACTCCACAACTGTTTCTCTGGAACTATAAAATAGCAATCAAAAAATTAAAATTATTGCTTGATTTTTCTTATGATAGATCCAGAACCAGCGCCCCAACAAAAGAATCCCTTTTTTCAACGCTGTCAAAAATTAATTTTATGAAAAAGTTTTCGGCCATTTACTCCCTGAGTTTGAGCAAGTAGTTTCAATAATTCTGTTTGTGTTCCAGTCATTGGGTTGAGGTAACTGATACGGGTTTACAGGTGAATTGGCTATAGAAAAAAAGCAGAAACTGAATACTGATGTTGACTTTATAAACGGAAGCAGGTATTACAGATAAATAATTTTAGCTTTTAAGGCGTGTTAAAACTGGTGTTATAGCAGGAGATGGTTTTTTCCTCTTGCATACAAAATAATATCAATATTTCATCGGCTTATCACTAACTATGCACTGGGAAAGTAACCGAGGTAATCGATCACCGAATTTATCCCTGTTATAAAAACATAACATCAAGAACCTGTCTTTGAGAACCGGAAATACGATCTGAAGGATTGTTTTTTGTTTGAATACCGTGCTTCCAGACCGTATCACTGGCCTTTGGAAGGTTGAAAAATATACCGAGAAGTTTTTATTTTAGAGCGACATTAGCAACAATTCTAAATTTAATCCAATAAAATACGACGTACGGACTTAAATATTATGGCCAACAGACCAAACTTATAAGTAACGAAACATACCAATGAAACCATTCTCAAAAAACAAAATTTTCGGAAATCTATAGCTATCGATGGAAGTAAAGTCAATGCTAAATTTCAATTCTCGTTATAGCTATTTCTAGTGTTCAGTCAGGAACGTGTCAGTGTTGTCGGAACTTTCTCAAACAGTCTGATCATGTTAACCAGTGTAGTGTAGGTCCCTTTTCAGTTGTTTTATTTTGTTTGCCATTTACCGATAGAAGTATGTAGTTTATAGGCCGCGTATAAAATTTAATGGAAAAAAACTTACATTCTTGAATCACGATAAATTTTAGATTTGATTCTTTTTGAAAATAAGCAACCCATTTTATTTAGTGATTGTAAATAATGTATTTGATATTCATAGAAAGAGCTTTAGTAACAATTTTATTTAAAATATTGTAAAAATATTTATAAAAACAAAGTCTACTCACGCTATCAATTTTTTAAAAGTTATAAGTATTTCGTATGACCATCATTTAGAACACAGTTGGGGTGTCGCAATTTCTGTATTGTATGTTGCATATCTTTAATGAATTCATTAAAAATCTTGAGTTAAAAAAGTAAATTAGTGTAAAATATTGTTCTTCGCTAATTGATTTAACATTTATATAAATTTGTTTTAACTAAATAAAAACCAGGAAACATCTTAATAATAAATAATAAGAATTAAAACCCAATACTTAGTACAGATGCTACTTTTATTTTATTCTACTTTCTTAGTACATAAGTGAATACTAAAAGGATAAATAGAAAACTTGACTTACTCTTTGATTACTGTTTACTGAGTACATCTCAAGCGAACTGAAAAATAAACAGGTGTGTAATATTCACCTATGCGACGACAGTTAGCGTATAGGCTACTAATATTTTTTAAGTGTAGCAAAGATTGCCTAACATCATAAACATTTTCATGTGTTTATCGCTTTTTTTTTACTATTCTGTCAATGATATTCAATTTTAAATGGTATTGTTTTGAACTGGTAATTGAAAAAACTTAACACCACCTTATCAAGTTAAATTTGGTTGTATTATAGCTGCTCCATTAACTATAATAATAATTTTACATTATCAATTTTTAAAATTGCTCTTTAAGCCGTAACGCTCTTTTTTATTTATGTATTGTATGTTGTTGTATTTATTTTTACCAATTTTGAAAAAAGTATATTGATTTTTCTTCTAAAATATTAATTTATAGAATTATTATATTTATTATATTTACATTTAAAATTAATTTTATGTAAAACGTCTCTTAACTGACTGTCGGAAAGATTTTTATTCTCTTTTTTCCCGAAAGTATAGGCGGCAACGATTTTTAAATTACGCGCGTTACGATATAACGGGAGTTAAATATTTTTATGTTGGTATGAGAATTAAAATAAGTTTTTTTGTACACAGCACACACTTGAGCCATGACGAAGAAAATAACTATTAGAAAATAGGAATTTTAAGTGAATTACGAATTAAATCACACACTTATCAAAGTGGATGAGTCAAGCTAAGTATTTGAATGTGATTTATTACTGCAAGTGTTGACGTATGTCGTTACATTAATGAAAATTTTAAATCACGTGCCTTTGCAAATGCTATGTTTTGATGCTGGTTCAAAATGGCGGGTGAGTTAACATAATGAAATATTTTATTTGTGCTGAAACTGCTGCTTCTTCCGCAGACATTTCAATAATCGAGGATGTGTGCATGGACGATTGTGATGAAGGTATGTAGATTTTGCACTGTTTCCTTCAAACATAAAATAGTCACTTCATGCGCCACTTTACAGAGGTTAAAATGCGTACTTTCCATAATTGCTGCAGAACAACCTGTAATTTTAACGAAATGCCTTGTACATGTTTTACTCATTCACCGCTTTTCTTTCACAATCGGTAATTATTTAGGTCAGTTTGAAATAAATTACCTTTGTTATTTTTAAAAAATAACCTGAGATGCGTTCCTACATGCATGCCAAGTATTTACTATTTATGTGTTTTAACATTTGTTGATCGCTGGCGTTACGTTTTAGTATCATTGAGCAAAACATCTTTCAAATTTAACTTGCATCTTTTAGTTAACGTGACGAATAGATAAAGAGGGTGTCGACCGTCATTTCCGGTGATACATATATATACCCTCTCCACCATTCTCTTCCCACTCGTTCAAAATGATTTGTGTTCCTATGACTGGTTCATTTCATTGCTATTAGTGAGTGTTTCTACAATTGTTCAGAAGCTTTTCTTTTTATCGTGACGCGGAGATTGCATTTATCCGGATAGATACCGCAACACAATTAACTTTGGCTTTTATAACTGTCGTACCAGTCATGTAAATGGAGATCCCACCGTTTTTTTCAGAAATCCAGTGCCCCAAATTATGTTGGATTTTTTTATCATTTTGCACATTTCTTACGAAGTGAGTGTCTGTCTTTTTGGTTGTTTAAATTAGTGGCAATGGTATATCGTACATGGTTGTAAAATTACACATCAGGAAACAATGACTAAAGTTCCACATTCTTTGGGCGTGAGTAATGTTCAGGTATTTTGTGCGAATCAACGTCGTCTTTATAATTCTACAGAGGTGGACCAAGTGGAGAGAATTTAAAGGTGCCGAGATGAAGAAAAGCTTTGTGTTAATTTAGTCCAATTCAAAGTATTTTTTTAATATTCAAATTTTATTTCATTCGTAATGTTATGGACTAATTTGGACGGACTGAGTTATTAGTTAACATTTTTGTAACTGCGTTAGTGGCAGAACCAATTTTATTGCAAAATTTAGCACCTAACGAATTAAGTTTGTTAAAATGACTCGCACACACCCACAGAAACGTGCATTGAAAATTTCTTTGATGTTATTAAAATAAGTCGTTATTGAAATATTGTCATAACTCATAAATTTAGATTTAACTATTGCAATAACACCTCGAGTTCATTTTGGGATTTGTACCAATAAAGTGGCTGGCTTACTATAGAATTAGGCTGTTTTTCCTTTTCAAACTATGAAGTGTTTCATAGCACATAGGATACGCATATGCAAGTTTTCTTTTTTTTTGTTTGTTGAAAATATTGTCTAAGACTGTCATGAAACTAGAATTTGTCTTTACACCCACTTTCAAAAATTGATGATGTCCTGTCAATTTTTGTGAGATAAATCTGACTTGAAATGTGACTGTTTTAGCTTTAACTTGACTTTGCATTTACTGTTTAGTGTTTATATATGAACTACGTAATCCAATTCAAATCCAAAAAATACCGGTGTTATTAGTATTACCTATATATAGTCAAATAGTTATATTTAGACTAAAAAATTATGATATCATCTCGAAGAATGTTGAATAAGTCATTAACGTTATTGAAAAACTCTGGGATGCGATATTACTCGTGTTTTCAATTTTTTTTTTTTATATTCTAGAAATGCCTGTATGATCTCACATAGCGAATATCTGGACAGACTTATATCGATCATCTGAGAAACTGTTATCTAATTTCCAATAATGTAATCAAAACGTAGTATCTATCAAAGGTAAAACAGTGGTCCCCACCAGAACGTTGATGACTGTACCTCAAAAATTATTAAATAAATATGTATTTCAAAAATATAAAGACGCATTCAACAAATTCTTATTATTTAATTCGGTTTATTAAGTGCATATTCATGAATTACGCTGTTACAGGAAAATCTATATCTGGTCTTTTGTACAAAAATGTATCATTTTTATGTACATTTTATGTCCTTTATGCCATTTCTTTCATTTGATTAAAACCGTATTCAAATTTAATCAAACGTACCTTTATAGTAAGTAATAGATGTAATACGTCCAGGTAATAGAATTTTAGCACTGAAATCACATCCTGAAAACATCAAATTTAATACAAAAAGGTGTCGTTTGCTCTTCTTGCGGCGTTATTTCTTTGCTAGAATGATCAAGTAGATTCAGTATTATTGAGTATCAGAAAAATTTGAAACATTTTGATTTAACGTCCTCTAACAAAGTAAAACAAAAAATTTCACCTAGAATATCGGTGTTTAAGGTGACTAAAAACTGAAATTTTTGATAGCGTTTTAAGAATGACGCAGATAAGGAATTTAGTAACTGCGCAGATCTAACCCTGTAGGTATGAAACCATCGTTCAGTTATAGATAATCAGTTGGTTGTATGATTTTTTCAGCCATTTAAATGCGTGTTTTGTGACTTTTTTTACGAGATACGATTTGTAAAAAATGCAGCCGTTAAAAACTTCATACCACTGCCAATTCTGTCGAGGTATTTAGCCGTTTTTATTTGGGATGGTTTTTTTGTATGTATGTGTTTGTATATTTTAGCAGAAAAGTGTCAGGTCACGCAATGGTAATAAAACATTTTTTTGCAAGTTTTGTATAAAAGTGAAATTACACTCTAAACTGTTTGTGGTTTCGTTATCGTGGTGTTTTATTTTGCACATATTAGAAACATCATTTACATAACATATTTAATTTTTCAATGTAAAAATTAGATTCTAGTCAAATTTTTTGTTGTATTTTAAAATACAAAAAAATTATGAGCTGCTAGACGTGTTATTTTACGTTTGTTAATGATCAAACGAAGGTTTGAGTATAGGATTATAGGAATTAAATTATGAATTAAAAGTCGACTGCTCTGGTTGTTGGATTGCGTGTTGGTTTAAAAAATGCATTTTTTTGTTTATTTTAAATTGTAAAGTGTCGTAACCCAGTAACCACAAACATCTGAAAATATGAAATCGTACTTTATTATATGAAATACAATGATCTCGTTAAAAAATATAAACATTAAAAACATTTAATAGTGTTTAAGTTTCCAATAAAAATTCATTATGCTGCCTGGGTTACAGCACTCGAAAGTCAGAAGTAAATGTTACAAATTTATATCAGAAAACACAAAAAAGCAGAGGAAGTGAGAATTTTTGTGAGACATCGGGCTTGCTTGAAAAAATTGAAAACACCATTCACATTCATCAGTTCTTTGAACTGGTTGGTAGAGAATGTAGAACTATTATCATTTGTTGATAATATAAAATCGTAAATATTTCCGCCATAATTAGGTACAGATCTACAGTTTCTCACAAATAGGTACTTAATATGCAACTTACTTTTCTAAAGAAAAGGTAGTACATTTACTATAACCTAAAGAGTTACTGCCATCTATTCCCCTACGCTTTAAAATTGGGACTTCCAAACTTTTCATGTTCGTGTTTTATGTAGCACCAGACAAACTTTTTTTCTATTTGTATGTGTGGAACTTGCGACGTGACTATCGTCGACAGTAGAAATGATTTAAATAATGACAACCATGTAAATAACAAAATATATATTCGAAAAATCTAGCAAAATTTACACTTTTGTTAGCAGTGAACGTTTGTTGTTTCATGTTTTTTTGATTGCTGTATAATAATCTACCGTTATCACTCGGTAGATATGGATGTAACGACCAGAAAGAAAATAATCTTTCTATCAGCGTAAAAGGATCTGGGAAAACTCGTGTGTGATATTTCTTGTTGGTAGAACTTGGTTCTTATATCTTCTGTCATTTTAAAGAATAAAGTTCATTTATTAGTAAGTCTGAAGTGTCACACTTACAACAGGTTTTGTACATAGGAAAAACGAACAATTATATTAATTAAAGATATGTAGACAGGTTATTATTTTGAAAAACCACATGTTTTAGTCAAAACTGGAACTATACATAATGGAGTAAAATGTTTAAAAAAGAACACATTTACATATCCAAAGTTTTTTAATAAATGCGACATCATGGTACCTGTTTGAACTGAACTTAAAAGATGCGGCGTAAAGTTGGTTTATAGTAAAAACTGCATACATATAAATAAGCAAGACTAACAAAAAAAAGCCGCTTCAAAAAAGATTTACCACTAAGAAGGTATCAGTTCTACATTTTACGCTTGTCGTCGTAGTACCTTTGCTATACTTTTTTTTTTTTAATTTTAGATTTGTAGTTAATTATATAGCATTAGATGATGTAACGAATAGATAATTTGCTTGAAAATGTCTTCAGCATCCTTGTAAAACGCATAAAAAGTGTTCTTTTAATAAAAACAAAGAAATAGTACTCTTGTTGGTTCAGTTTTGTAGCACAGGTATTTATTAGAAAGAACGATTTCCTCATCGTGCAGCAGAGACAATGTGATGCAACCATACCTTCAATTCATGTTTCACTCCAGTGAAATATGTGTAAGTAAATAAATATCTATTTCAACTTTGTAACTATGCAAATAAAAATGTTCTAGAATTTTATTGTGATGTGATAAATCGATGTCAACCACGTAAAGTGCACTTTAGTCAGATTAAATAAGTTCTGAACGATACTTTATCACAGAAAATTGTTTTTTCTTGTAGTAAAGATGGATTGGCAAACATTGAAAATAGTAGCATGTGTTTTGCTTAAAATAACTTTTATCTGATAACTGCAAGATTTAGTTACAATCGTCAGTATATGTTTAGAATTCTTTTAATCATTAAATTACTGAAATAGCTGGTATATTGTTTCTGTAAACGTTATACGTCTGTAATCATGACTCTTCATTTGTAATAAATAGTCGTGTGTGGAAATTGCTATCGTTTGCGATTTATTATGTAAAAAAAATCAAAATCGGGTATGTTAAAATTATCACTTAAAAATTCTATTGAAATCATCTTGTTTGGTTTTTTGTTCACGCGGTCAGTATGTGGGAAACATGACGGAATGTGTTG